AGGCCAGAAGAGGGCGCCAGATCTCATTACAGATGGTTGTGAGCCACCATGTGGTTGCTGGGAATTGAACTCAGGACCTCTGGAAGAGCAGCCAGCGCTCTTAACCGCTGAGCCGTCTCTCCAGCCCCGTTCCACTGTTTTCTGTCCCCTTCCGAGACATCCTCAGAGCCTTGGTGGAGAGGGCCGATGTGGAGGTCCCATTTAGGGCTGAGCTCTCATTCTCACAGCCACTCAGTCTGGGCGCCGGACCAGTTATGAGTCTCTGCGTTCGCTGCTGCCCACTGCAGGGGGAAGCATCTCGGGCCAAGGCTGAGAACAGCGCTAACGTACGGGTTAGAAACACAAGTACCGGGCGGCAGTTCGACAACGTGTCAAGGGAACAGCAGGAGTGGGTCCCCTTGTAGGGCTCGTGACCTCCACCGCGGTGAGCTTTGGACCGGCTTTACAGTGCGAAGCTTGAATTCCCGCCCGTGGAGTGGACCTCAGATCCAGTCAGAAAGCATCTGTTTCCTTCCTAACTTCAGTGCCGCTCTTGTGCCAATGGGCATGCCTTGCCTGACAGACAGCATTTTTGTTTTTGTTGTTGTTTATTTATTTATTTATTTATTTTTCCGAGACAGGGTCTCTGTGTGTAGTTTTGGCACCTGTCCTGGATCTCGCACTCAAGACCAGGCTGGCCTCGAACTCACAGAGATCTGCCTGGCTCTGCCTCCCGAGTGCTGGGATTAAAGGCGTGCGCTGCTGCTGCCGCCGCCGCCGCCGCCACCACCCGGCCCATTTATCCATCTTTAAGGAGACTTCTGTGCGGATCTTTGGCTCAATTTTGAATAATAACCTTTTGTGTGTTGAAATTATATCATGTCCCCCCTTCCCTTCCCTCTCTCTAACCCCTCTCATGTACCCCCCGCCCCCCACCTTGTTCTCTCTCCAATTCATGGCTCTTTTTCTTTAGCTGTTGTTACATATATACATATTCCTAATTACATAAATACAACCTGCTCAGTCTGTGTAATATGTAATTTCTGAGTCTCCCCTCTCTCCTGCCCTCCCTCCCTCCTTCCTTCCTTCTCTCCCCCTCCCTCTCTCTCCCTCTGACACAGGACCTTAGCTGTGTAGCCCAGGGTGCAATTTAGTGGTGAAGTGTTTGTCTAGCATGTACAAGGCCCTGGGTTTGATCCCTAGTGTGCCCTTATGATAACAAAAATAATACATATATGTGTATACACACACACAACACACACACATTCTTCATATGTTGGTGTTCATGTGTGCACTGGTGCGCGTGTGTGGGAATGCATGTGGAGACCAGAGATCACCTCCTGTAAAGTTACAGATGAGGGCCGTCTTGTTCTTACACAACAATCTCTCACAGGGACCTAGAGTTTGTTAGTTAGGTTGGCTGGCCATGAGCCCCGGGAATCCTCCTGTCTCCACCTCCCGATGGCTGGGACCGCAGACGTGTATCACTATACCTGCCTTTTTGATGCCGGTTCTCGGGATCCGGTTCAGGGCCTCCTGCTTGTCTGGCAAGCACTGTACCACCTGGGCCGTCTCCCCCATTCCAGTACGAACGATGTTTTGGGCGGGAGCGTGGGGGTGTTTCTTGATTGTGTAGTCACTGCTGTTTTGGTTTTTGAAACAGGGTCTCGTTATAGCTCAGGTCACCTTCAGGCTTGCTAAGTAGCCAACGCTGGCCTTGAAGTCTGGATTCTCCTGCCTCTGCCTTCCAACTCCTGGGACTCTCTGTGGACTCGAGTCCTGGTTACATGTGTCCCTTTATTTGTGACACAGGCATCTTCAGCTCCTGTGAGAGTCACCTCACCTGTGCCCTGTCTTGTTTTCCAGGACTGTGTGCAGCTGAATCAGTATACGCTGAAGGATGAAATTGGAAAGGTAAGTGGCCCAGGAGTTGGGCTGCCTTTGTACCTTGACCCAGGGGTGTCCCTGACACTCCAGAGGGAACCAGGAGGTCTGGGTGAGAAGAGGAGAGGGACCTTTGGAGGCAAGGCTGGTGGGGTGAGAGGGATTACAGTTCATGGTCTTGTGTGTGTGTGTGTGTGTGTGTGTGTGTGTTGTGTGTGTGTGTGTGTGTATGTGCATGTGTGTGTGTGTATGCATGCGCGTGTGCAGTGTGCATGTGTATGGGTGTGTGTGCATGTGTGTGTGTATGTGAGTGTGTGTGTGTGCATGTGTGTGAGCGTGTGTGTGTGTGTGTGTGTGTGTGTGTGTGTGTGTGTGTGTGTATAGGCTAAAGGTTGATGTCAGCATGTCTTTCCTCAGTACCTCTCCACCTTATTCTTTGAGACACGGTCTCTCACTGAACCTGATGCTCATAGATTGGGCAAGCCTAGCTGGCCATCAGGTCCCAGGTACTCTTCTGTGGTTACCCACCCCCGACCCAGTACTGGGATGATAGGTGTGCAATACCACACCTTGTTTTTTATGTCAGTGCTGGGATTTGAAGTCATGTTTGTGTGGCCAGCATTTTAACTAGTGAGCCGTCTCACCAGCCTTATTTTAAAAAATACCTTTTTTGAGACATGGTCTCACTATGTAGTCCTGGCTACATTAGGACTTACTATGTAGACCAGCCTGGCCTCAGACTCACAGAGATCCACCTGCCTCTACTTCCCAAGAGCTAGGACTAAAAGTGTGCACCACCCCGCCAAACCTCATTTATTCACTTATTTTAAATTTAATGTTAAAATTAGATGTGTTTCTGCAAAAGTTCAGAAAACTTCCAGAGGAATCCTAAATTACCATGGTGACAGTGCCAGTCCCGTTAATGGTACTCCCCTCTTCTCCCCCTCACCGAGAGACCTTACCATCTGTTTTTCGTTTATTTTTGTTAGCATTATTGCAGGGGCTAACATCTGAAGTGCTAACAGAGGATGAGTTAGTAATATCACTGGCCAAGGTAGACTGACCGTAAGACCATAGGGAGTCGTAGTAAAGGCCGGAGCTAACTGCTAGGCTGTGGAGTAAGGCTCTGTGAGTGAAGCAGGCTAGATCTGAGAGCGGGGTGGCGTGATGAGTCTGTGATAAACTGTTTTTGTATGGAAATAAGGTCTGTGTTTGGCCAGACTTTCCCAGGTCTGTCTGTCCGTCTTTCTTTTTCTTTCTTACTTGACAGGGTTTCTTTGTGTAGCCCTGGCTGTCCTGGGTCTCACTCTGTAGACCAGGCTGGCTTCAAACTCACAGAGATCCGCCTGCCTCTGCCTCCCGAGTGCTGGGATTAAAGGCGTGTGCTTCCACCGCCTAGGTATTTTCTTTTTCTTTCTTTCCCCCAGGTTTTTCAAACCTGGGTTTTTACATTAGTTCCTTCCATTTAAATGTTAGCAGCCGATTTAGACTGCAGAAATGGAAAGTCCGACAGAAGGCAGTCTCAGGGCCCCCTGGCCAGGGAGCTGCCGTCTGTAGCCTGTCAGAGCCCTCGGGTCACAGAGCCCTGCTCTGGCTACAGTGTCACAGGCCTCTCCTTTCTCCAGGGCTCCTATGGTGTGGTCAAGCTGGCTTACAATGAGAACGACAATACTTACTACGTGAGTATCCCCGTCCGCGTCCGAAGCACAGCTCCGAGTGCGGTTAGGGTACGCATTCGCCCATTCTACTCAGGGCCTTTAGAAGGGAGCCATGCCCCCAGTTTACAGATGGAGAAATGGGGCAGGGGAGGGATTGGCTGAGCAGGTGTCTTTCAAACCCTTGCTCTGAGCTGCCCTTTCTGCCTCTTCCATAGCCCCAAGAACAAGGCCGTCGATGGACATAGTGCCCTTGTAGCTGAGGCTAGTCCAGTGTAGGTTCAAACCCTGGTTCTAACATGCATTAACCATATGACTTTGGGCAGGCATCCATCATAGCCCTTCTCGGCCCATCGCTCTAGCTCAGTTGTCTGACTCAGTGGCAGGAGTCATGAAGTTTAGGGGTTCCCAGCTGGGTCTGCTCACCAGGAACCTCCAGGGTTGGCCCTGGCACAACTCCAGGAGTCTTGTCTCCGCACAGCCCAGGACCAGCTTGCTCCGCTGGTCACTAGGCTCTCACTGCCTTGTCCTGAGGCCCCGAGCCCTGGGGGCTCAGTGGGAGGCTGGAGGAGGAGAGAGCCTCCTCGTCGTCTCCCTCCCTGCTCCCTTTAACTGGACTTGGGGGGCGGGGGGGTCTGTCCTTCTGCAGGCGATGAAAGTCCTGTCCAAAAAGAAGCTGATCCGACAGGCTGGCTTTCCACGTGAGTGTTGTGGGCTGTGTCCTAAGGTGTGGGGGGCTGAGATGAGATTGGACAGAGCCGGGGGAATGTGATGTCCAGCAGGGACACGACATCCCGCACAGAGCTTCCCCCGAGAGAGAGCAGTGCTGAACTTCTTGCCGTGGGTCCTAATTCATTTTTATTTAAGAGTTTAAAAGGTGAATTTGAGGCCTAGAGAGGTGGCTCATCAGTAAAGGTACTTGCCACCAAGCCTGATGATCGATCTGAGTTTAAATCCCAAGGGATCACAGGGTAGGAGAGAATCGACGCCTGCAAGGTGCCCTCTGACCTCCACGTTCATTCTGTGGCATATACATGCCAAAACAAGCAAACAAATAAATAAGCTGAGCATGGACATGAACAAAATAAATAAATAAAAAGCTTACCCTATGTCTTAGTTTCTTTTCCTGATGTTCTGATAAAAGGCCAACAAAACCAGCTTTAGGATGAAATCCTTCACTTTGGCTCATTCTTGGGATGGGAGCTTGAGGCAGCTGGTTACATTGTATCTACAGTCAGGAAGCAGAGAAGAATGAAGGGCAGAGTTTGGCTCCTTTTCTCCACTAACATAGTGCAGGATCCCAGCCAGGGATTGGTGCCACCCACAGTGGATCCGCCTTCCCACCTCATTAATGTAGTCAAGATAATCCTCCAGGGGCCATCTCTCAGGGGCTTCTAGACTCTTTCTAGTTAACAACGTTAATCATCACACTTTCAGACCCAGCCACTTCTCCATAGTATCCAAGAGAGAGAAAAAGAGACAAAAGCTTGTGCATTCACATGGCTAGCAGTGCTATTCACAATATCTGTTCAGGGGAAACATCCCTGGTGACCCTGAACCGGATGAGTAAGTAAAATGTATGTGCATCTGGTGGGTTAGTATTCAGCCACCATAGGGCACTAATTTCTGATATTACTTGGTTGAAAGCATATTAAGTGAAGGAGGCCAGACACAGAAAGTCACTTACAATATAATGCCATTTCTATAAAATACCGGGATGCAAATCCATGAGAACAAAAGTAGATCAGCAGGAGGAGGAATCAGATTTTTGGAAAGAGCAACAAAAAATGTTCTGCAGTTATCTAGTGGTGATAGTCCTAAAAACTGCCAAAATAATCAGCCCGTACGGAGCACGTGCCTGTAACCTAGCTCTCAGGAACTGGAGGGGGGAGGATCGGGAATGCAGGGCCAGCCGCAGCTACATGGGACCCTGTTTCATAAAAGCACACCCATGAGAAAGAAGAATAATTAAAAAAAAAGAAAGAAAGAAAAGAAAACCAGTTGAGCAATGGTCATGCACACCTTTTAATCCCAGCACTTGGGAGGCAGAGGCAGGTGGATCTCTGTGAGTTCGAGGCCAGCCTGGTCTACAGAGCGAGTTCCAGGACAGCCAGGGCTGTACAGAGAAATCTTGTCTCAAAAAACCAACCAAACAAACAGGACCTCACACATTTAAAATGTTGAATTTTTTTTTTTTTTTTTTTTAACACATATTGGGCCTGACTTGGTAGTGTACTTCTTTAAACCCAGCACTTGGCAGGCAGAAGTAGGTGGGACTGTGATTTCAAGGCTAGCCTGGTCTACATTAACAAGCTTCAGGAGAGCAAGACTCGCCTCAAAAATAAATAAATAAAATAATACGAGGAGTTGGGGAGATGGCTCAGTGGATAAAGAGCTTGCCATGTAAGCGTTATGATGGAGTTGGTGTTCCCAGAACCCACAGAAGAGCCAGGCTGCAGGTGGGCGTGGCAGTCACCTGTAATCCCAGCTGCCACCACGTCTGGCCCTCGCCTTTGTTTTTTAAGACAAGGCTGGTCTCAGCCGGTGGATCCTCCTGCTCAGCCCCCCCCCCCCTGCCCCGAGTGATGGCTGACAGGTGTGGTACTACTCCGGCCCCCCGCCGTGGTCGCTTTTACAGGCCGAGGCTTACCTCAGCACCCTTCCTTACACACCCTTCCTTGCACACTCTTCCTTACACACCCCTTTCAACAGCCGAATCTGCACCTTGTCCTGGCCCAGGCTGGGGCACAGCTGCGTTCTGGGCCGCCTTAGCCCTACAGGCTTCCTCACACAGGATGTGGGGTACAGCGGTTTTCACAGTTGGGTTTCACATTCTTACAACTGACTGACTGAGTAACACGCCATCCTGGCAGAGATGTCCTCGCTTTTCTCTCATCGACTCGTGGGTTTTTTGTTTTTTCTTCTCTCTGGCTTTCTGGCACATCCGTACCATTTCCTGCCTTGAGGAGAGGGGTCGTGTTTACGTCTCTTTTATCCCAAAGAGGAGAAGTGATTGATTTACAGGAGGATTTGTTTTTGGTTTTTTGTTTGTTTGTTTTGTTTCGAGACAGCATCCGGAGTAACTCAGACTGGCCTTGTACTGTGTGTGTAGTCAAGGGTGACCTTGAACGTCTGGTCTTCCCGCCTCTCCCTCCCAAGTGCTAAGATTTCAGGGGTGCCTCACCACATCCTGGTTTGTGCAGTCCTGGGATGTATCGGAACCAAACTAGTGAGCCTCGGTCCCTTTGGGTTGGGCATGTGACCAGAAAAAGGGATCGACAGGGTGAACAGGAGGAGGGCCGGGACTCCCCTCTCCCTGATTTCTAGTAGCGGGGGAAGCGTGAAGAGAAGGCTGCTCCCAGCTCCCAGAAGTCCTTTGCCCTTTGTCCCATTCGCGGCTGCCCTCTGCAGAAGGTCTCGACCCTAACTCTGTGCTTCCTGCAGGCCGTCCCCCACCCCGAGGGACTCGCCCAGCTCCAGGGGGCTGTATCCAGCCCAGGGGCCCCATCGAGCAGGTGTACCAGGAAATCGCCATCCTCAAGAAGCTGGACCACCCCAACGTGGTGAAGCTGGTGGAGGTGAGGAGGGAGGGTGAGGCTGATGGCCTAGCCCCACCCACCCAGCTTTGTTACTATCTAAACTCCTCATCGCTAAGATCCCTAGAGCGTCAGGGCACAGTAGACGGCTGCCTCAAAGAGGCTGAGGACCTGGTTGCCTCACATACCCTCACACTGTTGCTTCATGCTGCTGTCACTTCCTCCAGACTGCTTATCGCTCCCATTTTACAGATGCGAAAGTTGAGGCCGAGAGTTCCGAGGCTTGCTCTTTACCGACTTCTTTCTCTTTGAAGCTGGTGGGTTTTTCTACTAGATGCACAGGTAGTTGGAACACAGAAGTAGCTCCACATACAAACAAGTGAAATCCTGTGAGACCGCTCAGTGGGCCTCAGAGGCCCTTGATGCCTGATGGAGAAAGAAAGCCTGGTGATCTGAGTTCCAGCCCCGGAACCCACATAAAGGTGGAAGGGGAGGGGAGAACTATCTCCACAAAGTTGTCCTCCGATTTCCACATCTGCACTGTAGTGGTATAAACACACACAGGATATAAATTAAACAGTAACAGTAATAACTTAAAGCAAAACAGCAGTGCTGAGTGTAGTGGAGCACGCCTTTAATCCCAGCACTCAGAAGGCAGAGGAGTCAGATCTCTGTGAGTTCGAGGTCAACCCAGTAGAGAGAATGAATTCCAGGCCAGCCAGGGCTACATAGCTTGAGCCCGCCGCAAAAACAAACAAACAAACCATAAGAAGTCGTGACTGGGCTCCAGTAAACCTTTGTTTATAAACACTGGAGGAGCTGAGTTCAGCCCTTACTATATTTAGCCAACTTCTCCTTCAGCTTAGCAGTTCTCAGGATGGTTTTTTTTTGGTCTCAGGATGGCTCAATGCACTTTAAATTCTGAAAAACTTGTTGTTAGCTTTTAGTCACTGTAACAAATATCTGGAAAAGAACTTCATAGGAAGAAAGGTTGATGTCAGCTCAAGGCTGTCTACAGTTCATGTTATTCCTGTGTCATTGTGTTGAGGCTGACGCAGAGCAGAAACATAGGAAGGAGATAGATAGATAGATAGATAGATAGATAGATAGATAGATAGATAGATAGATAGATAGATAGATAGATAGTACTGAGAGAGAGGGAGAGAGAGAGAGAGAGAGAGAGAGAGAGAGAGAGAGAGAGAGAGAGAAACAGACAGACAGACAAGGGGAAGATATCTTTAAAGATGCATGCCTTTGAATTCACCTAGCTCTACCACTACCCAGAACAATATACCAGTTGGGGACTGGACCTTCCACACATGAGCCTGTAAGGGACATACTGGTTTTGACCTCAGCAGACCTCAATGTGCTGCTGTTCATTGGTCACCCCTATTCATATGCATCCCATTAAAATAGAAACCAGAGCTGGACATGGTGATGCATAACTGTAATCCCAATGCTTGAGGTGGAGGCAAGAAAATCAGACATTCAAGGTCAGCCTGTGTTACAGACTCTGTCTCAAAACAAACAAAACCAAAAAACAAAAATGTAAATTGTCAAAATTTTATTCATTGAAAAGTTAACCCAGGAGCAGGGGGAGGGATGAGAGTGAGATCTGTGGTTGGTATATAAAATGAATAAGAAAAAAAATTTTTTTATTTTTTTTTTGGTTTTTCGAGACAGGGTTTCTCTGTGTAGCTTTGTGCCTTTCCTGGAACTCACTTGGTAGCCCAGGCTGGCCTCGAACTCACAGAGATCCGCCTGCCTCTGCCTCCCGAGTGCTGGGATTAAAGGCGTGCGCCACCACCGCCCGGCTAAGAAAAAATTTTTAAATACAAAAAAAAAGAAAATCAATATATGTGATAAAGAATAATTTTGTTTTTTGTTTTTCGAGACAGAGTTTCTCTGTGTAGCCTTGGCTGTCCTAGAACTCTCTCTGTAGACCAGGCTGGCCTCGAACTCAGAGATCCGCCTACCTCTGCCTCCTGAGTGCTGGGATTAAAGGTGTGCACCACCACCGCCCAGCAAGAGTAATACATCTTTTATGAATAGTAACTGTTTCATTTGTGTGTGCATGGGCGTATTTATGTAGGTGAGTGTACGTGTGTGCATGCATGTGGAGATCAGAAGTCAGTCTTGGATGTCTATTCTCAGGAAGTGCTCTCCACCTTGTTTATTTAAGGCAGGGTCTCTCACTAGCCTAGAGTTTGCCAACGAGGCTAGGCTGTCTGTCTGGCCAGCAAGCCCCAGGCATCCACCTGTCTCTGTCCTCAGCACTGGAAATATAAGCCACTGTGCTTCACTTTTTAAAAAAGACTTATTATTTTATTTTATTTATTTATTTTTGGTTTTTTTGAGACAGGGTTTCTCTGTGTAGCTTTGAGCCTTTCCTGGAACTCACTCTGTAGCTCAGGCTGGCCTCGAACTCACAGAGATCCACCTGCCTCTGCCTCCCGAGTGCTGGGATTAAAGGCGTGCGCCACCACCGCCTGGCATTTATTATTTTGTTTTTGATTATGTGTATGTGGTAGGGTATGTGCACATGCTTGCTGGTGCCAGAGGTGTCAGAGCCCCTGGAACTGGAATTCAAGGTGGTTGTGAGCTGTATGATGTGGGTGCTGGGAACGGAACTCCGTCTTCTGCAAGAACCGTGTGTGCCCTTAACCCCTGTGCCATCCCTCTAGCCCTCACCAGCTTTCCTACAGGGCTCCGGGGACTGGAGTGACGTCCTTGTGTTTGTAAAGCAAGCACTTTACCGACTGGGTGGTCTGTTCTCGGAAACAAACAAAACAAAACATGAAGAAGAATTATTTTTACAGTTTACTGCTGCTGGTTGTTATTATTCTTTTTCTTTTCTTTCTCTCTCTCTCTCTCTCTCTCTCTCTCTCTCTCTCTCTCTCTCTCTTTTTCTTAACCGTTTGGCTTACTAAAAGGCATCTCGATTCTAGGTCTGCTTTGGCCCTCAGCCCTCTGTGATGCTATTTTGTGCCTTCTGGACACTGGATGCAAGTAGAGAAAAAGAGTGGGAAAAGCCCATGTTGTCTTAGTCTTTTTTTTTTTTTTTTAATTTTAGTACTTATTATGTATACAGTGTTCTGTGTGTATGTATACCTACATGCCAGAAGAAGGCACCAGATCTCATTATAGATGGTGTGGGTGCTGGGAATTGAACTCAGGACCTTTGGAAGAGCAGCCAGTGCTCCTAACTACTGAGCCATCTCTCCAGCCCTGTAGTCTTAAAGTACAAATAGTTTCCATTTGATAGCCTCCCCGGAGGTGATTTGGGGATCTCCAGGAGGGGCAGATCCAGTCTGGAGCACCTCCGGCCCAGCTTGTCACTGATCTGGAAAAGGATGGTCTTGGCTCTCTGAATGGGGCTTGGAAGACGTGGTGGAGAAAGTGATCTTGGAAGTGGCCGCAGCCATTTCCTGGTCAGCAGAGACAACAGAGAAGGACGCTGCAGGGAAAGGAACAGCGTGTGTCAGGGCCCAGAGCCTCAATATTTGGGGAACATATCCCTGCCTTTGGGAGATGGCGGATGCTGTTGCCAGTCCTTGCCCAGGGCCCATGGCTCCAGAACTCTAGGTGGACCCAGGGTCTAACTTTCCCTTGAGATGGATTGCTCAGCTCTACCTGCAGTCTGGTGCATCTTGGGTGGCTGGGGAAGGTGAAGTCGTGTGGAAGAGATTGGAGGCCTAGTCTAGCCAGGGGTCCTGCCCAGGCCTCTCCTCAAAAGAGAGAGGGTGTTACCCTCTTTCCTGATGCCATTTCTGGTCTCGATTCTCCGAAGCTGGAGCTGGCCATCTTAGTGGAAGTCCCGGAGTGCATGGTCTGCAGGTAGCCCCGAGTCCTAGTAGGATGGATTTTTCTCCCCAGTACCACGTGCATCCGATCTTTCCACCCAACTTAGCAAGACCAAGCAGCCATTCTGTTGGTTTATATATCAGGTGTTTCTTCAGTACCTACTATGTGCCCAGCATGTATGAGACATCACCAAGACAGTCAAGGTGGACATCTTGGGACCTGCCCATCGGACAGAGGCAGGAGCAGGCATGGAGACATGTCCTGCTAAGGTGGGGAGGTATGGGTCCACTTCATGGAGGGGCTGCTTGAGTTCAAGTAGGGTTAAGCTTTTCTTTGTTTTTGTTTTTTTTGAGACGGAGTTTCTCTGTGTTGTTTTGGTGCCTGTCCTGGATCTCACTCTGTAGACCAGGCTGGCCTCGAACTCACAGAGATCTGCCTGCCTCTGCCTCCCGAGTGCTGGGATTAAAGGCATGTGTCACCATCTCCTGTCAGGGTTGAACTTTTACCCCGAAACCAGGACCTGTTCCTTGGAGATGGGCTGGATTGGCATCCAGGTGTGGGACATTTTCGGGAGGACTTCCTCCTTCCCGTTGTTCTTCTCTTCAGGGTGTTTCAGACCTTGAGGCTAGGTGGACTTGGCTATGACACTTCTGGGAATTTCTGTCTTCCTTGTTGACGAGGAAGAAGGATGGGAAGTGCGCCCCCCTGTGGGCACACACCATCACACACTTCCACTTCCTCTTGCTCATGTCTATGTTCTTTCTCTCCTTGTTCCCGTCACTGGCCGGCTGTGCCATCAGGTCCTGGATGACCCCAACGAGGACCATCTGTACATGGGTAAGACTGCTTTCCTCCATCCACACTTGAGGTAGCTGCATTTGCCGATGCCCGGTTATCCCCTCCACATAGCTGCAGCCCCGGAACCACCAAGGACAGGTGCCTCGTTCCTGGTCCAGCTGGTCCCCACAGGAGCCCGCCTACCTGGCTTAAAGCAGGGCCTGGGAGGGAGCTCTTGCTGGGACTTTGAACATCTGGATCTCCTGTGTCTTCATTTACAGCCCTTTCTCGAGCACCTGTTATGTGTTCAGAACTGTTGCAGGCCCTGAGGATAGATAGCGTGATAAGAAAGAGACCTGTACGGCTGATATCCCAGACAGGAAAGACAGTGTTGATGAATACATGAGAACTTTAGATATTTTAAGGGTGATTAATTAAGGTGATGTCAGGGAAAGTGGACAGACCACTTCATACAGGAGATGACCATTTAATACGTGAATGTCAGGGGTTTGGCCGTGGTACATCTGGGGTAAGGCCTTAAGGCAGAGGGAAGAGCAGGTGGAAAGGCCCCAAGGCTTTAAGAACTCAAGGGGGGGACTAGATAAATAGGGGAGAGGACTCAGGGGTAAGAATGGTGAGTTCGGGAAGCCGTGGAGGGGCGTCTGGAGCCTGGGGGGACACTCAGAGATCCGGGTACTGCCCACAGACAGAAGCTCAGGTGTGTCTTCAGAGACCTCATCCGTAAGTGGTGAGGACATCAGGAACGATGGCACATGTCTTTAGTCCTAGCACTCAGGAGGCAGAGACGGGAGGACCTATCTCGGTGATTTCTGGGCCAGCCTGGTCTACAGAGCGAGTGTCAGGTCAGCCAGAGGCTGTGTTGTGAGACCCTGTCTCAAAAAGGAAGGGACGGGGGGAAAGAATTAGACACTTGAGTCAATTTGAAGGAAAACATGAGGCTAGTTCAGAGGTAGTGTGTTTGCCTCGGATGTGCAAGGTCTGGATATTCTGGATTCAGTTCCCAACAACCCCCACCCCCGGGGTTTGTGTGGGTGTGTGTGTGGGTGTGTGTGTGGGACGGGTGGGGTGTTGGGTTTGGAAATATGAAAATACTTAAAAAAGAAAACATTAAATAAATGCTAATTTGCATGGTTTGTAGATAGAGCCAAATCAAAGACATGGTAAGCAAGCAAGTGAAATCTAATGAAGTACAGCAGAAATCAGAAAATTTGAAAAGTTGTTTGGCCCAGCACTCAGGAGGCAGAGGCAGGCGAATCTCTGTGAGTTCGAGGCCAGCCTGGGCTATCAAGTGAGTTCCAAGAAAGGCCCAAAGCTACACAGAGAAACCCTGTTTCGAAAAACCAAAAAAAAAAAAAAAAAAAGTTATTTGGGCCCAGAATGGTACTCCTAGAGTAATTTTCTCACTCTGAATTCCAAAAGGCTGTGCCCGAGCAGGTTGTTCACTTAACAAACCCTACCGTATCCATGCCTCTTCTAGGTTTCTCAGGAAACATCTCGAAACATTCTCAGAGCAGCCCCCTAAGTGTACTGCAGAGGTGCTGGCGTATCAACACCGCACAAAAAGAAAATAAAAGTAATAGACCTCTCCTGGAGAGAGAAGCTGGAGCTCTGGGCTGGTGGAACAGGATGGCGAATCCGTACACTTTGCTGCCACAGCCGTGTGCTAAGGACGGAGAGGACTGGGAGGGTCAGCAAGAGTCTTCAAGAGCAGGCCAGCTGCTCCAAGGGTAGAGACGTCTGTATTCTAGAAATGAAAAGAAAAACAGGTGCTAGAGACATGGCTCAGCCCCAGGACCCAAGTCGGGTCCTCAGTACTCACATCCGGTAGCTCACAAGTGCCTGGAAACTCCAGTTTCCTGTGATCTGATGCCTTCTGCCCTCCACAGGCTCCTACACATACACAGTGCACATCATCTCAGGCAGGGCCGGGCAGCAGTGGTGGCACACGCCTTAAATCCCAGCACTCGGGAGGCAGAGGTCGGCGGATCTCTGTGAGTTCGAGGCCAGCCTGGGCTACAGAGTGAGATGATCCAGGACAGGTATCAAAACGACACAGAGAAACCCTGTCTCAAAAAAACCAAAATAAGAATAATAATAATTAGCTGAAGCTCAGAGCACTTGGGTGGCATGTACGAGGCCAAAGTTCAGTTCCTAGTCACAAAAAACTAACAGAAATTTCCACTACCACTCAACCCCAAGAGTGGCTGAACTGTCAGTGACTGAAATATAGACCCATTTGAATAGGTCAGCCGCCTCCATGGCTGGCGATTTATGGTGCTTGGGTGGGGAGAAGCAAGGTAGAGAAAATTTTAAGTTGCAAGCTAAGATATAAATAACCAAGGCAAGAAAAGCCAGTACTTGTAACCACAGTAAGAGCAGATCTGCTTGGGTCCTGGTGTGACTAGAGGGCTATATTAGTCAGGGGTCTCTAGAAGAATGGAATCCATAGACTGTGTGTGTGTGTGTGTGTGTGTGTGTGTGTGTGTGTGTGTGTGTGTGTGTGTACATACATATGTATATATATCAATGGTAGATTTATCTATACTGTCAATGGCTTTCACACTAGAGAGGACCGTATAGTTGCTCAGCCTGTGAGGCTGGGTTCCTCAGCAGTACCAGTCTGACACCCATGGCCTGGGGGATTCCCGTAGGTCAGCTGGTCTTCTGTCTGTGTTGGAAGCCTGAAAAAGTTGATTCTGATACCAGCAGAGGAATCAGCAGTGGCAGCGACAGGTAGATGAACACACCATCGAGACTGTAAGCCAGGCCAGCAGAAGCGCGTAGCTCTCCTTCCTCTGTGTCCTGGTACCAAAAGTGCTGGCCACATTTAGGTCGGGTCTTCCCGTATCAATTAAAGCAGCCAAGACAGTGGGCCCCAGAAATGCCCACAGACCAGCTGGCTATAGACAGCTCCTCATTGAGGTTCTCTCCCGGAGATTCTAGGCCAAGTCGAGCGCTAACTCATCACAAGGACATAGCTTAGCATGAGTCCTCTCCGGGTATGAGTGGCAGAGGAGAGGAGAGCCCAGGATCCAGCCTTCTTTCCTTCCCCCTGGCTTTATTTTCCTTCTTGCACCCTTGGCTGTGTGTGTGTGTGTGTGTGTGTGTGTGTGTGTGTGTGTGTGTGTGTGTGTGTGTGTATGTACACGTATGTGTACGCGTGCATGCGTGCGCACACATGAGTGTATGCATATGTGGTCATTCATTCCTGGGGCTCAAACCCAGGGCCTCGTGTATGCTAGGCAAGTACTGTATCATTGAGCTATGTCCCCAGCCCCCCTTTTACTTTTTGAGGCAGGAGCTCACAGAGTTGGCTAGGCTAGTCTTGAACTTGCTCCGTAGCCCAGGCTGGCCTTGACTTTGTGAGCCTCCTGTAACAGTGGAGATTACAAGCCTGTACCACCAGGTACAGCTTCCCTTGGCTGTTTTGAGTTCTAGAAATAAAGTCCAGGTGTAGGGTCCTGTGGCTCTCAGGAGGTCCTTTGCCTCCTCGGCAGCACCTAGGTAGATTGTGTCTGTCTCCTCAGCCCCTCCCAGGATCTGTTTCTGTGCTTGGAATGTGGCTGGAGTGGGGCATGGATGTGGAGGAGGGAGGCGGATTTTCAGTGTCTCACTCGATATGACAGTTTTACCTCCTTCTCTTCCCCACAGTGTTCGAATTGGTCAACCAAGGGTGAGTGTTTATCTCCCAGGCACAATGCCAGGCTTCACCTTCAAGCTGAGTGAGGGGAGCTGGGCTCTGAGGGAGCGGGTGAGCCAGGGCTAGCTGGATCTGGTTTACGTTGTTTACCCGCGTGTCAACCTTTCAGGCCTGTGATGGAGGTGCCCACGCTCAAGCCACTCTCTGAAGACCAGGCCCGATTCTACTTCCAGGATCTGATCAAAGGCATTGAGTACTGTAAGCCAGGCCTGTGGGGGAGCTGCTCGCCTCTGGGGTAGTTAGCGTCCCAGTTAGTGGGCGGTAAATGGAAAGTATTGCATTTCCCGCTAGAGCGGAGGAGGTGCCTGGGAACGCGGGAGTGTGTGAGCTGCAGAGGTCTCTCCCGCACGGTCCAGGGAATTGACGGGCTGTGCTTTGGCAATGGAAGCCCTCTCCCTGCTGCAGAGAAAAATGAAGAACAGTGACATAGTGAGGTTTTGTAGATGCGGGCACACGTGTGCTCATGTGCGTGGAGGCCAGAGGACCTCAGTGTCTTCCCTCGGGAGCGCTCTACCTTGTTTCAACTTTTTTTTTTTTTTTTTTTTTTTTTTTTTGGTTTTATCGAGACAGGGTTTCTCTGTGTAGCTTTGCGCCTTTCCTGGAACTCACTTTGGAGACCAGGCTGGCCTCGAACTCACAGAGATCCGCCTGCCTCTGCCTCCCAAGTGCTGGGATCAAAGGCGTGCGCCACCACTGCCCAGCATTCTAACATTTTTTATTTGTTTTTATGATGAGGACAGCCCTTTTTATTAATACATTGTAATAGACTACAGAGACAGACAAAAAATAGTATCTTTTTTTTTTTTTTGAGACAGTCTTTCTTTGGTCTGGACCTCACCAAGAGGCCAAGCTGGCTGGCCAGTTAGTCCTAGGGATTCACTCATTTCTGCTTCTCCGTCTCTGGGATTATAAATGCATACCACCATGCCCAGCTTCCTTTTTTTTCCCAATTGGTGCCGGGGACCAAACTCACATCCTCATGCCTGGGAGCGCACTTTACTGACGGAGCTATCTCCCCAGACCAATAGTGAGCTTTAAAAACCCAGCGAGGGCTCTATGGCGAGGGCTCTATTGGCATCAACAGCCTGGGGTGGGGATCCTCCTTCCTCCTGGCACCCTGGTTTCCTCATCTGTGACATAAAGTGTCTCCCCAGGGATCAGCCTGTAGCCGTCAGTGGCTCTGATGGGCGCCTGTTGGCCACTGTGACTTTTACCCGCTACCTATCTCGGGTGATGGTTGTGACAGTTAATTGGGAGAAATGAGAAACACATTTAACACAGAGTGAAGCCCTGAACTATTAGTCTTCTTTTTTTTTTTTTCTTTTCCTTTTGGTTTTTTGAGACAGGGTTTCTCTGTGTAGTTTTGGTACCTGTCCTGGATCTCGCTCAGTGACCAGGCGGGCCTCGAACTCACAGAGTTCCGCTTGGCTCTGCCTCCTGAGTGCTGGGATTAAAGGCGTGCACCACCACCACCACCACCACCACCCGGCCTCTATTAGTCTTTTTACACCACCAAGTTCATCATTACCCCAGAATCGGCACTTGGGACTTCCAGACCATAGGATTGTCTGCTTCTTATATCCCCTGAGAAGCCAAGTCCCTCCTTCTGCTTTGTGGCTCAAACTCCAGATGAGCCTGCTCTGGCTTGGTTGACTTGCTGACCATGATGACCATTGGTAAATGAAACTGTGTTTGACGGTCACAAGTCTCAGTGTGCCTGGCTGGAAACCAGATTCAACAGAAATAGGCTGTGAAAGACAGGTGGTTAAAAATTGCTGTTGGCCGAGCGGTGATGGCGCACGCCTTTAATCCCAGCACTCGGGAGGCAGAGCCAGGCGGATCTCTGAGTTCGAGGCCAGCCTGGTCTACCAAGTGAGCTCCAGGAAAGGTGCAAAGCTACACAGAGAAACCCTGTCTGGAAAAAAACAAAAAAAAAATTGCTATAGACGGTTGGTGTTTTGGGACTGGTGTAGATGTCCTTAAACACACTTTCCCCCTTATTTCCCAGAGTGTGTTTGGGGGGGGGGGTATCTGGGGCTGGGGAGGTGAGGCATCGGGCACGCTGGGCTGAGTGGCCAAGCAGAGATTCTCATGGACTTTTCCTGCCCCGTCTCTTCCATTGGTGTCCCTCTCCATCTAGTACACTACCAGAAAATCATCCACCGGGACATCAAACCTTCCAACCTCCTGGTGGGGGAGGACGGGCACATCAAGATAGCGGACTTCGGCGTGAGCAATGAGTTCAAAGGCAGCGACGCCCTGCTCTCCAACACCGTAGGCACGCCTGCCTTCATGGCACCCGAGTCGCTCTCAGAGACCCGCAAGATCTTCTCGGGGAAGGTGAGTTTGGATCTGCTGAGTTCTGCCTCCATATCAGGGTCCTTCGGTTCTAAGTAGGAAAACCCAGTGCATGAGAGGTACAGAGAGCATGCCCACTGGGTCACGTGGCTGGTGAAGCTCATCAGGCAGATACAGGAACTCAAAACAAGGGTCGGTATCTCCCCATCTTTGTCTCTGTTATCCTGACCTGGTTTCCCTGCAGGTAGGTCAGGCACCAGTACCTCTAGGCTGCTTTCCATCCGGTAATCAGCTTCAGTAGCTAGACTTCCCGCTCTGAATAGCAACTGCAAATAAACTGACCAACCACTGTGGCGGCTGTGCCAGTGTGTCGTGTCCCAACCAAGGAGGCTAGGAGACAGGGCATGCTTCACACCAAGAGTGTGGATTAAGAAAAGATGATCTAGCCTTTAATCCCAGCACTCTAGAGGCAATGGCAGGTAGATCTCTGCATTCGAGGCCACCCTGGTCTACAAAGCAAGTTCCAGGACAGCTAGAGCGGTTATACAGAAACACCCTGTCTTGAAAATCTAATAAACGAACCAAAAAAGAGGGCTAGAGAGATGGCTCAGTGGTTAAGAGCACTGGCTGTTCTTCCAGAGGTCCTGAGTTCAATACCCAGCAACCACATGGTGGCTCACAACCATCCGTAGCGAGATCTGGCACCTTCTTCTGGCCTGCAGGTAGATGTGCAGACAGAGCACTGTATACATAGTAAATAAAAATTAAGGAGGAGGAGGAGGAGGAGGAGGAGGAGGAGGAGAAGAAGAAGAAAAGGTGGTCCCCAAGGAGGTAGAAGAAGAAGAAGAAGAAGAAGAAGAAGAAGAAGAAGAAGAAGAAGAAGAAGAAGAAGAAGAAGAAGAAGAAGAA